TTTTTTTTTTTTTTTGGTTTTTCGAGGCAGGGTTTCTCTATGGTTTTGGAGCCTGTCCTGGAACTAGCTCTTGTAGACCAGGCTGGTCTCGAACTCACAGAGATCCACCTGCCTCTGCCTCCCGAGTGCTGGGATTAAAGGCCCAGTATGTGTTCTTAACTGCTGATGGCATAGGCCTTTAATCCCAGCACTGAAAGGCAGAGGAAGGTGGATCTCTGGAAGTCTGAGGTCAGCCTGACATATACATGAAGAGTTCCAGGTCAACCAGGTTTATACATTAAGTCTCAAAATAAACAAACAGAAAAACATACAGGAGTTGGGGGGGGGGGGGAGCCTGGACATATGGCTCAGAGACATAGTTCTTGTCAGGGATGAGATGTCTAAGGCCCTAGATCATCCCACTCCTAACACAAGAGGAAGGGGAGAGTGTGGATTATGAATTGTTCACTAGAGGTGTTTCCTAGTATATTCAAACAGGCAGAAGAAATACCAGTAAAAAATAAAGATAGGTTATCAAGATCATCTAGTGTGGAGAACAAAAATAAGTAAGACAAAGTTTCAGAAACCTCTAGGGCAAATTAAAATTACAAATAAGTATATCAAGCTTATACCCAGTCTTTGGTGTTTTGTTTTGTTGAAACAGGTTTTATTGCCTGGCCCAGAGAGGCTTAACTTTGTGATAATTCTACCTAACGGAAAACAGTTTCTGATCAGAAACCAGAAAGGCTAAAAGGCAGTCTGGACAGACATACTACCTACTAGAAGTTAATCAAGAGAGCTAGCTGTGTGTGAACACAAGTGGGGTGCCGGACAGAACTGAGGTCACAACAGATAAGAAGAACCCATTAGCCAGTCAGAGTAAACTGTCTGGCCTGATTACATTGGACACTCTGAGGGTGGAGAAAAATCAACTGCTGCTGGGCAGAATTTCCCAGTTTAGGGGCTGGGAAGATAGTAGTTGGCAAAGTGCTTTCTATGTAAGTATGAAGACCTGGGTTCAATCCCGAGAACCAACGTTAAAAAAATTCCAAGCTTGGTGGTGAACTCAGCAGGAAAAGACAGACATATCCCTAAAGCCTACCAGGCAGCCTAATCTACTGAGTATTCCAATCCAGCAAAACACTTTCAAAAAATACAGGTGGTACCTGAGGCACAACATCTAAGGTTATTCTCTGCATGCATGTACACATACACAGTACATACACGCACACACACACCCTCCCAGCATGTGCAAAACAAACACACAAAAGAACTGTCTGCCACAAACCCACCAGGCAAAAGGCCTTTGGTGCAGAGGGAGAAAATGTACTTTAGCTAGGCTAACAGAAGCAGTCTGAGAGGCTCTTGCACTTCCAGCTATTAACAGGCCTTCATACAGGACTTCAACCCAACAATGCAGCCTGAGAAAAGGCCTTCTTCTCTGACTTGCTTTAGACTTCATTCACTTACAAAAAACAAGCCTGAAGAAAAATGATCCATCCTCTCTTGTCCTGTTTTGTTAGCTACCTTCCTTTTCTTTCCTTCTGACTATATTGTCTTTCTTACTTTTCTATGTGCTCCTTTGTGATCACTTCTTTTTCTATTTATTTTGGGGTGGGATAGGGTAACAGAGTCTCATGCAGCTTAAGTTGACTTTGAATACCTACATATCTGAGGTTGTCCTTTTCCTGATCCTCCAGCCTCTGCTTCCCAAGTGTGAGGACTACAGGCATGCACTACTACAACCAAGCCATGACTTTTTCTAGCTTTAGAGCCTGTCCTGGCACTCACTCTAAAGACCAGGCTGTCCTCAAACTCACCTGCCTCTGCCTCCCGAGTGCTGGGATTAAAGTTGTGAGCCACCACTGCCCAGCATGACCTTTTCTAATATCTTAATCCCACACATCTTTTCTTTTTCTTACATTCCGCATAGTTAAATATAGCTAAGGATACAAGATTGCTCAATGGAAAAGCATTTGCCACACAAACTTGAGGGCCTGAGTTTCAGTCTTAGAATGAATATGGTAGAAAGAATCCACTTCCTAGAGTATTTCTTCTACCTCCACATTTGCACTAGAGCTTGCATGTACCCCCACACATACACAACCACACAAAATAAATAATAAAAAAATAAGCGTAAGGGGCTGGAGAGATGGCTCAGAGGTTAAGAGCATTGTCTGCTCTTCCAAAGGTCCTGAGTTCAATTCCCAGCAACCACATGGTGGCTCACAACCATCTGTAATGGGGTCTGGTGCCCTCTTCTGGCCTGCAGGCATACACACATATATATAATAAATAAATAAATAAATAAATATTAAAAAAAATAAGCGTAATACAAATATGCAATCATTTTTAATTACTGTTGTCTGCTTTCTTAGTGCAAATAGGAATGTGACTCCAAGAAGCCTAATAAGAGCCACTAATGACACTCATAAAATTTTAAAATCCATTTCATTTTGTTTTGTTTTGTTGTTTTTTGAAACAGGGTCTCACTATGCAGTCACTGTCTAGCCTGGAATTAATTTTGTACAACAGGCTAGCCTCAAGCTCATAGAGTTTACCTGCCTCTGCCTCCCATTTAAATAAAAGTTTAAAAGCCCAAAAAGAGATACCTATCATGACAGATATACAAGACACAATGTAGAAACACAAAAACTCTGAAAGTCAAGGCAACACAATTCCTGAATGTCTGGTTTTAAAAATGACCAGTGACCTCAAGAAAATTAAAAAAGACAAGTAAGTAAAGAAATCAATTTAAAACCAAGATGAAACTCCTTTGCTGTGACTAGCCATAGAACCTTATTTACCCTAAAGGGTTTACACAGCACAGGGTTTCAGACAGTTCTAACATAAACAACAATCTCAACCTTATATGCTTTGCTAGGTTTGCTTCCATCAAAGATCTATGTGTATAATACACACTCAGCTAAAGGATAAAATTCTTAAAAGACTTTTCCCTCTGCCTTCACAAAGACAAGCAAGATCCTCTTACAGACTACACCCTTGACATGGAGCACAGTCCCAGTGGAGGCAATGGGTCAGTGACTGTATGGCAGGTGCGTTCCCAACAGAACAAAATCACCACACTCACCTCCAGTTCCTCACTGTCTTTGGGCTTCTCCTCAGAGGTCTGTTTAACAAAGTCTGGGATGAGAATTTCCAGTGTGGCTCGGGCTACAAAAAGAAAAAGTCTGAGGTGAGGGCTTGAACCCAAAGGAAAATCAGGCATGCTGCCCCAGCCAGCAGTGAGCTACATGTTGGCTCCCAAACTCGTAACGAGAAGCAGCAACAGCACTTTAAAAGGTAGACTTGGGAGGGGCAAAAGAACAGCACATCCTGAAGAAGGAACAGTAAGATTAGAAGTTTTGGATACCAATTTTACCAAGGGAAGAACTCACATCTATGTTTTAATCAAATTGTAGCATTTAAAAAAAAAAAAAAAGGCTTGGCAAAACCTGGATCCAGGGAGGCCTGACAGCAGACAGCTACAGACATCCAGACCACAACACATGAATAGCAGCTACTATGAACAGTTAGATGGGCATATCTGAGGAACTCTGAAAGAAGCATGTATAAGACAAAATAAGAGGGTGGCACCCACATGAACAGGCCACAATGTGCTATAATAATGACTCAGTCTGGCCCAACACAGCACTACTGGTAAGACATCCCAGAAAAATAAGTACATAATAAAGAGCAAGCAGTGCAGATTTCTAGAGAGAGCAAGCAGCTGGAATAGGTGGAGGAACAGACAGGTGACCTAATAAAGAATAACTTAGGACAAGTCTGAGGATGTTTCCACTCCTTTGCTAGACCTATCTCAAAAGTTATCTGCTCAAAGTCTCAACAATTTGAAATTTGTAAAGTATTTCTAGGCTGAATTTTTCTAAAAGGGATTGCAAGAGCTAGGGCCTAGCTCAGTAGTAGAGCATTTTGCCTAGCATGTCAAGACCTGGCTCAGTCCCTATCTCTGCATAATAAGTTAACAAAATAGAATCAGGCATTCCTGGAGATGGAGGCAGAATATGCAAGCTAAGGGTAGCTGAACAGAGGACAGGTAATACATGATACAGAAAGACTTATTGTCCTCAGTATTGGTCACAAAACAAAGTACCACAGAGGAACACTCTCTGATTCTTAGAAGTAGAAAATCCTCCCACTGCCCCCAAGACACAGTAAGACTGAGAAAACTGGTATGCCTCCTGTCCTTATAGATAGCAGTTGGGGAAGACAACATGTCCATAGGATAAAGTTCAAGAACGGCCCTGTATGTGCCAGGGCCAAAAGTATACCTAACACTAATCTGCAATGTATCCATTACTCAGAAAAGCCCAAAAGCTCCAATGCTGGGAAAAATGGCTTGGTTCAAAAATGCTGTCTAGTCCTGAATGAGGCAGAAGCAAAGAAATGGTACAGTGGGTCTTTTAAAGGAAAACACCAATTTCCTTGAGATGAACAAGGTGTGGAACAACTGTCTAATCCCCAATTTGAAATATGAAGGACTCAGGAAATTATATAAAATATCAGAAATCCTTGAGAGGGCGATAACATGACAATCTGCCTTTTTCTTCTTCTTAGCATGTCCACATTGTGTTGTTTAAAAACAAACTTGCATGCCAAGTGTGGGGTGCATGTTTTAATCCTTACACTCAAGAGAAACCCAGTTTCGAAAAACCAGAAATAAAAAATAACAAAACAAACCAGACGGTGGTGGTGCACGTCTTTGATCCCAGCATTTAGGAGGCAGAGGCAGGTGAATCTCAGTGAGTTCAAGGCCATTCTAATCTACAGAGTTCCAGGACAGCCAGGACTATCACACAGAGAAACCCGGTCTCAAAAAAACCACAAAAGCAAAAAACAAAACAAAACAAACTTTCACACACCCCACATGGCCCTAAGCATAGCCAAATCTGCATATGGCTGGAACATGAACAAAAAACATTGACCCTGCTGTCACTTGGCAGAAAGTGGTCTTCTACTACTGTAAAGTCTCACTTTAAAAAATAAAATCTGGGGGCTGAGTTGGAAGGTGGTGGCACATGCCTTTAATCCCAGCATTTAGGAGGCAGACACAGGCTGATCTTTTTGAGTTCGAGGCCAGCCTCGTCTACAGAGCTAGTTCCAGGACAGCTAAGGCTGTTACACGGAGAAACCCTGTCTTGAAAAGCCACCGTCACCACCACCAACAAAAATCTGGGGGCTGGAGAGATGGCTCAAAGGTTGAGAGCACTGGCTGATCTTCCGGAGGTCCTGAGTTCAATTCCCAGCAACCACATGGTTCTGAACCATGAGATCTGGTGCCTTCTTCTGGTATGTAGGTATACATGCCAGTAGAATATTGTATGTATAATAAATCTTAAAAAAAAAATTAAAAAAGAATCTGAGCCGGGGTGGGGGACTGCAGGGTGGCTCACACCTTTAATACCAATCTTGGAATATAGAGGTAGTCGGATCTCTGTGAGGTCAAGGCCAGGCTAGTCTACACAGAAAGAAAGAAATAAAGTTAAAAAAAAAAAAAAAATTGGTTTGGCTATTCTGGAACTCACTCTGTAGACCAGGATAGCCACAAATCTCAAACTCAAAGAGATCTGCCTGCCTCTGCATCCCGAATGCTAGGATGAATGGTTTTAGCTAGAATCTTAATTACATGCGTGTATATGTGTATATGTATGTATGTGTGTGTGTGTGTGTGTGTGTGTGTGTGTGTGTGCATGTGCAGAAACCAAAGGCATTAGATTCCCCTGGAGTTACAGGTATTTGTAAGCTGCCCCATGTGGGTTCTGGTAATTGTGGTGATCTGAATTGAGGCAACTGTCTCCTGATTTTGAGTGCTTAGTCCCTAGATGGTAGACCTATTTGGAAAGGATTAGGAGGCATGGCCTTGTTAAAGGATCGGGGCAGTGGGTAGGGTTTGAGGCTTCAAAAACCTACACTATTCCCAGTTAGTTCTCTCTGCCTCATACTTGCAAACCAGATATAAATTCCAAGCTACTGATCCAGGAACATGGCTGCCTACCTCCATGTTCTAAACCACAATGGTCAAGAACTCAGTCACCTTCTGAAACCACAACCTCCAATTAAATGCTTTATTCTAAACTTGCCTTGATCATGGTGCTTTGTCAGCAGCAGAAAAGTAACTAAGACAGGAACCAAACTTAGTTTCACTAAAAGAACAGTTCATACTCTAAACTACTGAGCCACCTTTCTAACTCTTTTTTTTTTTTAATATTTATTTATTTATTATGGATACAATATTGTTTGCAGAATTGCCTGCAGGCTAGAAGAGGGAACCAGACCCCATTACAGATGGTTGTGAGCCACCATGTGGTTGCTGGGAATCGAACTCAGGTCCTTTGGAAGAGCACGCAATGCTCTTAACCACTGAGCCATCTCTCCAGCCCTCTAACTCTTTTTTACTTTCTTAGTTTAAATCATTTACAATGAACACATAATTGTTTTATTTTATCTTTGGTGGTACAAGGGATTAGACCACTCTAAAGCTGAGTTACATCTCTAGCCCTTAGTTTTTAGACAGTCTTGCTCTACAGCCAAGGTTAACCTGAAACTCACAATGATCCTGTTGCAGCTTCTCAAGTACTAGAATTACAGTCATATACCACTATTATATTTTAAAATCAAAGTAGAGGGCGGCATAAATAGCTCAGTAAGGGTTAAGGTTACTTGCTACTCTGGGTTTGGTTCTCAGCACTGATATTAGGTGGGTGATTTACAACTCCTTTAATTCCAGTTCCAGAGGATCCAATGTCCTCTTCTGGCCTCTGAGGGCACCAGCACACAAGTTCACATGCAGGCAGGCAAACACACAGACACACACACACACACACATGCGCCAAAAATGAATCTTTTTAAAAAGCACATTAAAAAATAGATATGAATAAATATCTTACCCATATCCTTAAAAATCTACTCATTACTCAGTTCCTTGCTAATCAGAGTGAGGCATTAAGGTGGGCTTTCCCATCTCATTCATTTAACGTCTAGATATTCGTCCACAAGTATGCCCTAGAGGCTAACTTAATTTAGATAATGATCACAGGCGTGTCCAGAAGTTGGTAATTAGTATTAATATCACATTCGGTATCCCAGCGACATGCTGCCTGCTGGGTTTGCCTCACTCTGATTAGCAAGCTGAGGTTCTGAGTTGTACCAAAACGGGGAAGGAAGCTAAGCACTGGCACTCATCACTATCAGCTCCTGACCACAGATGCCATGTAGGCAGTACCCTCAAATTCCTGCACAATGCCTTTCCCACAGTGATAAACTGTACCCCTTCAGGAACCAAAACACACCCTTCCTTTCTTAAGTTGCTTTTGTAAGGGTGTCTCATCACAGCAACAGGAAAAGTAACTGATATACCAAGCAAACCACATTACCAGCTTTATTCTTCGCAAGTTTTTTGCTGCTTGCAGTTCCAGATCCGTAAGTCACACCATCAATGGTCACGGAGGCACCAAAAGGCTCACTTGGATTCTCTTAAAATTAAAATTACTGGTTTTAAAACACACTTGTCAAGACATAAAAAACATGTGCACACAGCCTGTCAGCCCTAACAAGACACCCCTGAATAAAGCATATCTATGTTGTTTGAGATGTGTAGACAAGGCTGGGAGATGTGGTGACAGGCAGCAAAGGGCACAGATGGGAAGACTGAAGAGTATCGGGGACTATGGGAAACAGAGCTGCCTAGTACATGGACACGGTAGGGATGAGGTCTCTGAAAGACAAATAGAACTGACAAGAATGGCAAAGCACAGGATAAAGGACATCTGAGAAACAGTACCCCCCACCCCAAATACAAGTGATCCCAGGTCTCAGAACCAAAGGGCAATCACACTGACATTCACAAACTACACAGAGGAAACCATAGATAACAGAGCTGTCAGGAAGTGTGGTGAAATCAAGGCTCTTTCATTATTAGGGGGTGGGAGTGATGGACACAGAACAGAAAGCAGTAAAGAATTCAATGCATAACAGAAAGGCCTTTATTACAGACTATTCTTGACAAGTCAGGAACTACTAAGGCAGAACAAGAAAAATAGAGAAAGGGGAAAAATAGAACAAACAAACTCAAAAGGAAAAGCTGAGCCATCCCCTCTCTCAGACAACAGTCACTGCTGTGAAAATAAGATAGATACCTATCTGCATCACACTTCTTTTTGTCCTTGCCTTGCACACCAATCCAACCCAGCAGGACCAATGTGCTCACTCCCACCTACAGTCACAAGCAAAATGATATATACGACTCTTTAGGACTAAAATGGGTTTGAACTTACCACATTCAAAGAAATTATAAACAGGGCGGACCTTGAGGACACGCTGCATGTATTCGTGCAGGATGCAGACCTCGGATTTCCCATTGGGATTGATGACAAACTCTGTGACAAAAAGAACTCCTTAGGGGTTTACCACTATGAACATAGCAGCCTCTGCATTACAGAAAGCAGACAGCTTTGGGATAAGTGCAACTCATAATAAAGATAAATCAGGTTAAAATGGCAATAACATGTCCCATCTGCTGATGCTGATAAGTCCAAGCACAGCTCACCTTTCTTTGTAGGTGCATCTTGCACAGATAAGGTGATGAGCTTCTGGTTGGCTGGCAGAATGGGCCTCTCTGACTCTGCCTGCTTCCGCTTCATCTCACGGTTGAACTGGCGGCGCTCAGCCCAAGTCCTAAATTTTTTCACAGTTACTTGCTCAAAGTCAAAACGCTTCTCCAGGTAGGTACGAAATTCTTCTAGATCTGTCCAAGATACATACCAGTGAACTACATTATCATAACAACAACCCTCAAATAAACAAGTTCAGGACACAGGATACCCATTTCTCTTTCCCCATTGCTTTCAACAGCAAGAAAAGAAAAAAAGAAAACTTAGGTCCTTTCACACCTACTTCACATCATTCTGGAAAATCCCTTATGGACAGAATCCTGGGCATACCATTAATTTATCTAGACTTAAGAAAACAATACGAAAATGATACTGGGGCTGGGCAGTGGTGGCACACACCTTTAATACCAGCACTTGGGAGGCAGAGGCAGGCAAATCTCTGTGAATCTAGGTCCACGACAGCCAGGGCTACACAAAGAAACCCTGTCTCCAAAAAGAGTGAGAAAGAAACTGGAATGGCAAGCAAACAAACAAACACAATAAGTAAATACATAAATACATACATACATACATACATACATACATACATACATACATACAGCTCTAGGTCTTCAGGCTTTTCTCCTTAAGCCAAAATGAGTATTAGTCTGGGAGACACTACATGTACACATACAAAAAACCAGAAAGTACTTGCCAATAGCAAGGGTCAATCAACTCAGTAACAAACTGTATCCAGGTGGCTATCTACCTCCTCAGGGCTTCTACAGAGATGCACCTCTTCCCCAACCATGTTACCACTACCCAACAGCAGGTTCCTCTCCCAGTACCTCAAACCCAGCTGTGCAGGATACACACATAGCTAACCCTGAAAGCTGCCAAGTCCTCTTTGGAAGTGACTCTTAGTGGGTGGACTGAAAGAGCTCTGACACCACCAGGGATCTAAGAGACAGAACTAAGCTATAGACACAAGACAGAGTAAGAAATACAAGCATATAACCAAAGACAAATGTAAAACTCTAGAGTATTGCCCAGTTCTTGAAACGCAAAAAGCAGAACCCTTCATTAAAAATAAAACAAACAAAAAAGTGAGGGAACTAGCCATAGAAAAATGGCAGTTCCTTGGTGCTGAATTTATGACTGTAGGCTCATTCTATATCCATCAGATAAACTTAAACAATGTCACAGGAGCACACTGTACTAAAAGAGCAAGACTTCTTCAGGAGGTCATACTGAAAAACTAGCTGGCATTGCCATAATCGTCTCTATTGAAGCTTTTGGCAGTCAGGCCCTGCAGAGCTCAGGCCTGCTCTTGAAAGCAAGGGTGAGGGCCTGTCTGACAGGCAAAGGTCCCTTCCCAGATACAACCAGGGACTAGAATACACAACACACAATAAGAGTGAAAATACAGGTAGCAGCGAGGCAAGAAAGATCTTCAGAACACTTACCAACTGATTCATCTTTGCAAACCTCAACTTTAGCTTTCACTTGTCCCAAGGCTCCAGGGGCTGCCTCAGCCCCCAGTGGGTCCTTCTCATCCAAGGACCCCAAGTCTCCACCCATGGAGTCAGGCTCTTCCAAAGGGAAATCTAACTCTGCAGATCGACCCAGGGGCTTGGCAGGTGACACCTCCCCACTGGGTGTGAGATCAGAGTTTTGCTCCCGTTCCTCATTATCCTTCATTTTCTTGTAATGCAGACAGGGGATACTGCTTAGAGGAGGGTCATGTTTCTGTCGATAGTGAAATTGAAACAGGGCTTATCAGAACAACTTTGAGTCTGTTTGACTATACTACAACACATGCAGCTAAGCACTGAGAACTGACAAGCCTAAATACATGACAGGGCATTTCCCTACCCGTATGCTTCCCGTTCCCAAGAAGTAGGGTCTGGACCAGGTGACCACTCGAGACTCTCTGTGCAGGTATACAGGAACTCCAGAGTTATGAAAAGTCATGATCCATCCATCAGGCAATGGCTCTGTAGGTGGACGGCCACGACCTGCACAACACAAAAAAAAATCCTACAATCCCTTTATAAACACAAAATTGTTACACGATGCCTCTTAAGCATGTTTTTGTATGGGTCTTGCCCAGTTTCTATCTGCTTGATGGGCCCCAATTTCACCCCTAGGATAGTATGTGGAGCAAGGTGAGAAGTTCTACATGGATAACCAATGAACAAGAAGCTCTAAATAGTCCCCAGCCTAGCTTTTGCCTCCACACCTCGAGAACACTGGATACTAGATTTCTCCTACTTGCTGAGCCATGGTGAACAGGTACCTGAGGAATGGAGTAATCTTTAATAATAATCTGTAAATGTGTCAGTCAGTTACTCTTCCTGGTGACCAGGCATATGTTATTAAATAACACTGCCTTACTACCATATGCTAAGCCCTGGGTTTGATTCCATAGCACTATCTTAAAAAAAAATACAAGCTTGCTGCTTTTGCAAAGGATCCAAGTTTGGTGCCCAGCACTCACACGGTGACTTACACCATCTGCAACTCACAGTTCCAAGGGATTTGATGCCCTATTCTTGCTTCCATGGTGCCACATATATACAGGCAGGCAAATACACAAGATTAAATAAGTCATTAACATAAAAAAAACCCAACTGGACATGGTAGTATATGCCTCTAAACCCAGTACTTGGGAGGCAAAGGCAGGTGGATCTCTGAATGTTAGAGACCAGCCTTGAAACCAGCTTACTTAGTTCCAAGACAGCTATGGTTACAATAGAGACTGTGAGAAAGAGAGCGAGAGAGAGCGCCCCAACAAAACCATTTCTACGTTGCTTTTAAGGCACTGCTTCCAACCCCTTCTTTGCTCTACTGACAGTTTTAAGAAAAGTACTAGACTTGTTTTCAACTTAGCTCTCTTCAACAACAAAACTAATACAAAATAATACAAATATAATAAGGACTTAACTAAAACAAGTGTTCTTAAGGTATCGGGAGCAATCTGATATCTAGAAACTAAAGAAAATACATATAAATGAAGCCTGAATAACAGATATGATTTTAAAAAGGTGCCACTGGGCCGGGCGGTGGTGGCGCACGCCTTTAATCCCAGCACTCGTGAGGCAGAGGCAGGCGGATCTCTGTGAGTTCGAGACCAGCCTGGTCTACAGAGCTAGTTCCAGGACAGGCTCCAAAGCCACAGAGAAACCCTGTCTCGAAAAAACCAAAAAGAAAAAAAAAAAAAGGTGCCACTGGCTCTTGAGAAGGGCAGCACCACTGGGCTACGCTCCGATCCCAAGACTAGACACCAGTCATCATCAGAGTATGGACCCGGAGGGAAACTTGCAGGTCAGAGGTGCACCCATGGGTACTTCTTCAAAGGAGCTACTGCACACAAACCTGGGGCTAATTCGGGAGAAGAAGCAAACAAAACATGTACCCAAGCACAATATAAGGCAGGTTCATCCCATCCATATATCTGTGACAGCAGGCTATCATAGCCCACCAAGCTGTCTGAAGAGCTTCGTATTATGCTCCTAACTCAACCTTTCCTAGGCAGATAAACAAGCCAGGGTTACTGCTCCCTTGTGGGAAGTTTAAAGTGAGAGTCCTGAAACCATGGGAAGAGCACAAGGCCAACCTTCTAGCAACAAACACCAAGGTGAGGATCACCTGACCCATCCTTCCCAGAGCTACAGCCAAAGCTGGTCGGAAACTGCCTATCATCCACTGTTCAGCTACTACCAACATGTACAGCAATATTTGGTACCTAACCTTGCAGACCCTCTCATCTCCTCAGCAGCTCAAGGGAAACCTCTCCAGGGGTTTCAATTATTGTGCCTGAGTCCCATGAGCCTTTTAATGCCCCCAACTGATCCTGACATCCTTAACAGAGTAAGTGCCACCAAGCCAAGTCCACACAGAAGCTAATGTAACTTGTCCTACACGCTCCCTATACTGGAAACAGACAGAGCCTGATGCACAACTGTGGGCATTCAACTACCGTTCTCCCATTGTCACCAGATGCAGGGATAAGTGTCACTCTGTATATCTCCCAAACACTTTTACTTCTATTCAGAGCTCCTGCCCTGCGCCATGCTGCAGCCCAGAACCAATGCAATGCCTGATTCTGGTGCTTTCCTGACTCTTCAGCAACAGAACCAAAACTTGGATGGCAACTATAACCTCCCAACTCACCAAAAACCTACCTCTGACCTTGGTCTCCATATTTGTAGACTACCGGTCTTCCATCCTAGCATACATTAATGCACCCCATTCAAGGATCCTCTCTGTGGCTTCCAGGAAATTTATCAAGATCTGAGTCTGGGTTGTGGGTCTGAGTGAATATTTGTGTCCAATTTGTTTTCTTTTCACCTCCCATGACTATTCTATACTTAAATCTGTGTCTCTACCCAGACTGATGCCTGGCACAGGAGAACTTCCAAAATATTCTTGGGAAGAAAACCTTTCTGGGGCCTTGAAGCATCAGGATTTGTGACTAGCTCACTCACTCTTGAGCACTGTTTTAATCTTGGTCATCATTGGCTGCACACTTGTCTCTCCATCAGATGGATGATCACTGTCTCCGCCATATTTTTCCTCCATCCGCCTCTTTTTGGGAGCAGAAAGACCTTCTTCTAGCAAAGCATCCACATCATTGTCAAATTCATCCTGCAAAACAAGGTTTTCAGATACTACAGGCCTCCATGCTTCTGTACCAAGGACAAGTTTTGTTCGCATGAGTGAGGTAATACTCAGAAAGACCCTCAACGGGGACTGGGTATGCCCTGATGGCATTTGATCATCTGAAAAACAAACACGATGAAATGACAAAGTGAAACCAAGACACCTGGTCCAAGAGCACACCCAGCCAAAGAGGCTTTTCAGCAGCACCTGCTGGCTCAGGTTGGAAAAAGACATGGCCCAATGTTAGGCAAACTTTACACTAAGAAACTTTAGATATATAAACTCCTTACATCCTTTTCTTTTCCACATGAATGCTCGCACGGAATTTTGAGTTCCCTGCTTTCAAAAGACAAAGCCACTTCCAAACCTCTTTGGGTTTTGCTCAGAGCCCTCCAGAGAACGGGTCACCAACATACCTCATAGGAGAAATTCAAGGCCTCTTCATCCACTCTGTCTCTTTGAACGATTGCTTTAGCCGTGAACCCGCCTGTTCCTTCTTCATCTAGCTCCAAATTGTCAGTAAAATCTTCTAACTCATCGAGCACTGCGTACTCCACTCTCTTTTCCTGATCCAGCTCATTTTCCTCATCCTTCTTATCTGTACTCTCACCCCCTAGGCCTACCCCATTACCAACACTCCCGCCAAAGGGACAAGCATGCACGTCCCCACTGACAGGACTAAGGAGCAGGCTACATTCAGCCCGAGTGCTGCGTTCTACTCCTGTGTACAGCACCTTCCTGTCCTTACTCCTACAGCTCTCAGTAAAGCTCACACTAATCTTTACATCCTTAAGCAACTTAAGGTCAGGGGAGAACTTCCGGACTGCGGGTGCGTGCCGGGCAGTGCGCGGGCTGTGGCCACTACAGTTCGGGTCTATGAGGAGGTGGCCCTTAGAGAAGGATCCTTTGGAGAGAAGAGAAGCTCCGTAGAAGTTGAAAGGGTCCTCGGCAGGAGGTTCGGACTGTCCATCACCACCAGAGCCAACGTCCATTACCTCTGCATCACTGGACGTTTGCAGGGGAGGTGGTGGAGACTGTTCATGGGGCAGCACTTGGAAGGGGCAAGCTCGGTTCTCCATCATCGCTTCTCCTGCGGGCTCACGCGGGAGAGGAGAGGGACTCTCATATGTCTCCATATTATGAGCAGTTAAGACTATTTTAAAACACCAGAGTTTTAAACCACCTTACATAAATCTATACTGCTAACATGCACAAGTCCGTCGAGACCCGGTGGCGTCCTGCCCGCGTTCCACACACTGGCGGCTTAGTCAAGCTGGCCACATTGCTCTTTTCATTAATGTAGACAGCTTTTAGAACCACTGCCTCAATTATTGGAAATCACAATGCACTCAGCTTAAAAGATTGACGTCTAAGTGAGTCTATCTTCATGCCAAAGTGGCACCTTTCTTCTTCCACCTGCAAAGAAATTTAAAAATATCGTCACAAAATGACAGAACCCTTCCACTTCTCTGGTACCAAGTTAAAAGTCAAATGTTATCTATGATGAAGTAAAGGGCCAAGATAATTGCCTTTAAGAAATCCTTTTAGACATCAGGGGAAAAAAAACCTTACTAGTTTTCTTTAGAACCTAAATTTTAAGCCCTAAATTAAGTATTTTACCAATTATTCACTTTAATCCCTATTTCAGAGACACAAAAATATAGTCTCATATCTCAAAAAGGATGAAGACTAAAATAAAAAGCTAAACTTTCCTACAGCACTCCTATAACTCAGTCTAGTGGATAAGCAAGCATGCAGCAGGAGGTCACCATTTCAGGAACACACACAGAGTGCATGGCCTCCATCACGCTATTAATCCACTCACCTTCAAGGGCTGGGTCAGTCAGAGGGTGAGCGAGACCCTCAGCTCAACTCTGTGGCACTAGGGACCTCAGAGATATAGCCAGGCACTCTGCTACCCAGGGACCCCCTCTCCTGGGCCCACAACGTGGCACGTGGACAGGACAGTGATGCAGCGTGCTGAGGTCACCAGGAGTGGCAGCATAGATCCATTCCCAGTAGAGGAAGGGAGTCTGTTGGGAAGGGAGCCTACTAATATTGGGAATAGGCAGGATAACACAGGAGAAAGCTAGAGTCAATGCAGAAAGGGTCCTGGGTGCCACTGGGAGTCTAGCTGCAAGCTGAGGATAGTGAACTACCAAGAGGGAAGCAACTCTCCTTATAGAGAAGACTCACAGCTATACCAGGTATAGGTGTCTGCACCAGGTGTTGGGACAGTTCTCCAAAACAAAGATGTAGAAGCAGCTCTGGAAACAATAAGAAAGTATCACAGGAATTGTCTATGCTTGCAGACCCTATAGGGTGGAAAGGAGAAAAAAGGAGGTGAAGAAAAAGGCTTAAGCCTCTGCAGACACACACTGGTACCTAGGAAGAAGCCTAGAGAGAAGAATAGAGGATGCTGCAGGCAGTCCTGTCTCAGTACTCAGGCCACACAAATCTGGAGCCCTGAAGAGGTCTGGTGGAGACAACCACACAAATTGGGAGTAAAGCACCAAAACCACAAGAGGGAAATAGCAGAGGGAAGGACATAATCCTAGGAAGCTCTGCTAGAGAGAATGTGTAAAAAGAGGGACGACACAACAGAAAAGGCAGGTCAGAGGCTAGCCACAAAACCCAGAGATCCACAGAAAGGCTATGGGCAGAAACACATGCACACACAGACACACAAACACTCAAGAGCGCACAAGCACGTGCGCGCGCGCACACACACATGCACACTCCTACATCATGCACAGAAACATGCACATGCCATGCACACTGGTGCAGGTACTGCTATACACACACGACCATGACCATGGGTGATAGCTTGGTTGCATCTACATAACTCATATTCTTAAAATCCTAGAGAAGACAAGAGTCAGAAGACAACATCTATATAAGCAGCTTACAGTGAAGGGATTAAGCGGGGTGGTTATGCCTTACTAAAGGTAAAGGTATAACCAGAGGCTTATTTAGGTTAAATTAATCCATTTAAATATTCACTTACAGTCTACTCCAGAGGCGCTAACACTAGAAGACACAAGGACCCCATGGCCTGGACATAGCTGGTAGGTCAACTACTATCACTTTATTTCTTACAACCTCTGATACCCTAACAGTTTTTAATTCAATGGGAACTAAAAAAACTACCTCTCTTAAAGGTGTTCCCATCAAAGGAGCTTAGGAACCACTAAGGAGCCAGAAGGGAAACCAAAGGGGCAAAGTCAGTTTCCTGACAACCAAAGACCACTGCAGAGGACAGACAGGTCAGCACACTTGACCTTGAATAAGACCAGGACAGAGCCTGGTAGGTGTGCAGAGACCACAAGAAATCAAATCTGTGCTTTCTCAGATAGAATATGCTAATGGAAGAAGACTCAAGTAGGCAGGGGTTGGAGACAAAAAGCGGTACAAGATGGGCAAGTATGCTACATGTTAAAAGCTAAAGGAGTCAGTGTAAAACTACAAAATAAAAACAATAAATGAAGACATTAGTTAAGTGTTAAGGGGGATGGGAGTTTTAAAGAGATACACAGCACAGGTGGGACCCTGAGGCCCTGGAAAGGCTAAGTACACATCTTGCAGGAGCAGGAAAATTGTCTAGCTCTTGGGCTCAGCAGTGGACAATCCTAGATAAGTTTCTGACTTTTCCCTCTGTAAGCTTACTCAATTCATTAATCAACTATTTGCTAAATGCCTTCCATAAGGCACACATCATTTATATGTGTTAAGCACAAGGCAGACAAAACACTTGCCTCACATAGCTTACATATCAGTGGGGGAGATAGATAATTCAAGAAAAGTATCTATGATGTCACCTGCTGACAAACATTCTAGCTAAAACAAAGCAAGGGGGGAAAGCTAGGGAGCAGGAAGCAGTTTCTAAAAGACTACACAGGCTCTACAGCCAGTATCCACTTAAAGATGAAACAGATAGAGCCAGGTGGTACCAAGGGCGAAAGGAGGCCATTGTAGAAGACACCTATGGGAAAAGCAAAGACTCAGGGACAAAGACATGGTATGACCAAGCCAGGATAGTATGTGAGGGGAAGTGAAAGCAAGCCAGGCCAGCATGTCTTCAATTTTTATCTTTTTTATCTTGAGAAACAGGATACTGCACAGAAGGTATCACTGATCCATGGGTAGAAATGGCAGCCAACCCTCACACAGGCCCTGTTCTAAGGACTTCAGGCAACAAAGCCAGCACTGTGACAGAAAGGTTAAACAAGTGTTCAAGGTCACAGAGCTAGGAAGTGGTAGAGCTGCTTTGCCACCCAAACAAGCAGGCCTGAGTCTGTACTACCTCAGTTGTACACCATCTTGCAATTTAAAGAATTCTTCACCAGGCCTTTAATCCCAGCACTCGGGGAGGCAGAGGCAGGCAGATCTCTGTAAGTTCAAGGACAGCCTGGTCTGGAGTTCCAGGACAGTCAGGGCTACAGAGAGAAACCCTGTCTGGGGCAAGGGGGGGGGGGGTTCCTCTGTGTCCAGAAAAAGTACTAAGACGGTGATAATGGGAATCAAATTAGAAAAGGGGAAAGAATTAAAAGGCTCACCAGGTAGCGTGAACCAGGACTTTAAGTTGCAGTTTCTGAGAAACAACAGTCTGTTGTTAGAAACAGGTGGCAAGGCTTGCTGAGAAATGCATGAAGGCCTAAGAGAGGCACCAAGGTGACTTTAGACAGCCCAGAAGGATTGTTCTGGCATGGCCTGTGACTAGAGCTTGGCTTGGATCAAACTACTTGGTGTCAAAGCAATCCATGACAAAGTGAAAAGAACAACTAGCGGCAGGAGGTTAGCGATCAGAAAGGAGATCCGCGTTGGCGATGGAGATTTGGAAGATGTCAAGGAAAGTTGATGTGAAAACTAGAAGAGATCACGTGGGAGCGAAATGATGACAACAGAAGGCCAAAGCTGGACAAACCAGTCAAAATCATCCTTCCTACAAGGTAAAATTGCAACAACCACTGTCAAGTGCCTGCTCCCCTGGCCAAGCAGAGTTCAAAGGGTAGCCCTTCCTGCCCTCCAGCCTCACTGTTCTTCAGCTGATTGAACCTATGGATGCAGCTCTTGCTTTGTCAACTGGACTGGGAGCAAGCAGCTTACCCAACACACATGGACAACTCCTACTTGATGGACTGGCATGGATATAGCGGTGGTGACCAATGCTACAGCTGCAGCCTCCTGACCAATCCAAAGGCAGTATGACCTCATCAATTCCTTTGTCACCCTGCAAATCCTCTTATTTGAAATTACAGGCCACACTTATTAGACCAGCCATTTGCTTACTCCCTTTGGTTAGTGGTGGCTTACATTGGGGACTGAGCCACTTTCAAGACTGGGAGTCCTGTTGAAGCCAGGAGACAGTGGGCCCCTCCTAGTGATTGGCTGCCACAAGTCAACAACCCTACATAGGGCATCTCTGCATCCGGCAACGGGGTACATGCAAGCATGCAAGATAGCAAACCAAATTCCTATCACGTAGCAACCCAAGCCCACTGCATGATTTTACTTGACAGGCATCGCTGTCAACAGGTTGCCACGTCCCATTTATTCTACCAACGCTCATTGTTACTGTAAAACCACATCCTGAAAAACTACACGACCACTTCATCCACTGGCAATTTGGAAGAGACTTGGGCGGTTTGTCGGCTTTTCCAAGCAGCCCAAACAGGCAAGAGTTCAGGACGAGGTGTCCCTGCCCACACGTCTCCCGCCAGAAGGCAAGGCGAAGCGATGGCTTCGGGCCCACCAGCCGAGGGGCTTCGTTACCAGGCCGACAGCACCCTACGTCCACGACGCCTGGGCTCCGGGCCCGGCCGCCGCTGCACAAAGGCCGCGACTCCGCGTGGCCCAGCCCGCCTCGCGCGCTGCGCCCCGCCCCGAGCCCCGGCCTGCGGCCTCGCCCGGGAGGGGAGGAGAAAGGGAAGGGCGCAGCCTCTCCAGGCCGCAGCGCCCGCTACTCGCGGGGCGCCCCTCGCGCCCCGCACCTACCTGTGGCGCCCGCGACCTGCCCGAGCCGCCCGCAGCCCGACCACAGACGGCCGACCCTCACCGCACCGGCGCCGCCGCAACCCGCCAAGGCCCTCGCAAGCTCTCGGCTCTTGAGACCAGCTGCCGCGCGGACGAGCGGAGGGCGGGCCTTATCAGCGCGCGACCAATCCCGGCGCACGGCCACCGCGCATTGGGGGAGCCGGGAGCGGGCTGAGGAGGCCGCCAATCGGCGGCGCGAGGCGCGCGCGGCCCAATTGCGAGGCGCGATGGCGGACGCGTGGGCGGGACCAGGCGCCAGCCTAGAGGAGCTAACGACTGTGGCCCGGGCGGGGCTGGGCGCGCGGAGGGCTGCGGCCGCGTGGAGCGCCGGGAGAGAGGTCCGCGGGGGCTGCCGGGAGCCGGGGAGCCGGGGAGCGCGGGAGTGCGGGGAACGGTGGGAGCGTTTCTGTGAGCCGGCCTCTGCTGAGCTTAAGTCACTTTAGCGTTTGCTAATGACAACGGAGCTCCCGCTCAGCACCGTCCCCAGGACTAAACTGGACCGCCCATCCCAAAAAGCCGTCGTACAGATAGATGCGCGGTGCTGAGGGTAGGAAAGGAGTTTTACTTGCAGCGTCACCACACCGGGAAGGACAAAGGTCTCATAACTAAAAAAAATCTGTTCGTTGTGCGTCCTCGGTGTCCAAAAGGGAAAAGAGACAGAAACCAGTGTGGGGATTCCATTAAGAGTGGTCCGGACCCTTTTGGTTCGGCGTGAACCGTAGTTTGGTCTTGCAGAGCTGTGTCAGTGCCAAGGACCAAGAAAAGGTGATTTTGAGCCTTAACCTAAGATGTTCTTCAAGTCTGTTCTGACACCCGAGGGAGCAGTATGTAAGACTTAGGGGAACTCTTTAGGACGGAAATGAAGTAAAAGGACTCAGAAACAAAATGGAGTTAACCAGGTCCGTTCCTGAGCACTTCAAATCCCTCCTGTCAAGTCTTTACTCCACTGCTATTGACCAGGGACTAAGTTGGGGCTAAATTGCAGTAATACTATCCAGAACCTCGAAAAAAATGGAGAAAAGGACAGGTCACCTTTAGGTTCTCATTCCTATCAATAAATATAGGAAAAGTGATGCAAGACTGTCTTCTGTGGGGCAAACATTTGAATAATTGCTGCTGGACATGAAAATCATATGGGTGCTAAAAACAAGGCTAAAAAGTGACAAGTTGCTTTGGGTTCTAGAGATGGAACCCAGTGTCTCACCCACACGGAGCTATGGTAAAAGCACTGAGCTGTATGCCTCCCGTTTGGGAGACTGTGTATTTTAACACAGTTCTAAAGCTTCTCCCCAAAAGTCTTAGCAATTGCAAATGGTAAAGCGCTTTACAGTGGAAAAGTCTGGAAGACTCCACTTTAAGAAAGGCCACCAGCTGTAGGAGGCACGGAGGTTCTTGTGCTCACAGGTGAGCACCAAGGGTACCGGGGATGTTAGCCTACCATGTTATTCCTTGAAGGAAGGGGATGTGTCTGTTATCCACTCAGAGCTGGGAGCAGATGTGCATTCTAGCCTGGTGACCTTTGTGCTAGAGACCACACCAGACCCTCCCCCAGACCCTATAAGCTTTTGTGACCTGATTCTGGGAAAGTTTAGGGATTGGTGGAGTTTTGTGCTCAGGGATTAGTGGGATTTCAAGTCCTTATCCGTGGTCTTGGGGTCAAGTCAAAGACAGGGTGTTTTTCCTTGGCCCTTTTTACCCTACAATCACCATAAAAGTTTTCATCAGACTCCTGAAGTTTGAACCAACACCATCTACTTAGTTGTATTGAACTGAACTACTTTTGTCACTTGGCTGGCAATGGAGGTCACAGAGACCTCCCCTGTTAAGTCTCAAACCCTGGACAAATGACTGAGGTGCCTATGTAACATATCAAAGGACCTGGCTGCCAGGTTCTTCCTGCATCCCTCAGTCCCTACCTGTTACAGGATATGTCTGACATACCCCACCCTCTACCCTGAACTCTCCAGGCCAGGGGCTGGGCTGCCCTTCCCCTGGAGGCTCTTCCCTTTGTGATCCAGATGTTTTGGTTACCTACCTTTTGTACCTTTGGATTCCTGGCTGCTATACCTGGTTCCTGCTCTCCCCTCTCTCTTCCTCTCCTTTCCCCACATGGCCCCGCTCAGTCTGGTCATGTCCACTCTGGAATCCTCCAGATGTCCCCACCTCTAGTATGCTCTCCCTTTTATCTATAATAAACCTCCTCCACCATACCTAGGAGCAGTCATGTCCTTTCCTTTCCCTTTTATTTCTTTTTTCATTCACCACCCCCAACCTGCAAGTCCAAATTTACCCTCTCATTAGGTGCACTGAGGCCAGCAAAATGGCTCCTATAGAGTAAAGGCACGCCCTGACAGGCCTGACAACCTGAGTTTGAACTCCCAAACCCATACAGTGGAAGACGTAAACAGACTCACAAGTTGTCCTTTGACCTCCAAATGGGTGCCACATCATGCTTACCCCTCCCCAACAACATAACAAATGTAAAATCTGTTATTTAAAAAAAGGTTGATTTGAAGCATGCCTTTAATCACAGCACTTGGAAGATAGAATCAGGTAGATCTCTGTGAGTTCAAGGCCAGCCTGGTCTACAGAGTGAGTTCAAGGCCAGCCTGGGCTGCATAGAGAAACCCTGTCTCAAAACAAAACAAGATGTCTTGGAATACCTCTCACAGAATCATACTTGCCTACAAGTGAGGAGTGAGTATCCCTGAAAGAAAGAAGCAGAAAATCTCACAAAAGCAGAAATTTCCCACCAAGTTTAAGACCAACCTGATCTACATAGTGAGTACCAAGACCATCATGAGATCCCATATCAAAACAAACATTATTATACCACAACAGAATTCAGAGAGAACAGCACTAACCATTGTGTATATTGAGGGTCTCCTGAAAAACACATAGGTTCACTTGTAGATATTTCTGGCCCCAAAATCAAAGCCTGAATGAAGAAAGATCAGATAAACTCAAAATCATGACTATTCAGTAAGATCACCAGACCAGAAATGGGATCAGAAAAGGAACATAGTGGGACAGTTGATAAAATTCAGAGTGTACCAGGGTTTTTCTTGTGGGCCACTAACTAACTTCAAAATTATGACATGGAGACTTCTAATTAATTTGGATACTTGGCCTTAGCTTAGTTCCTTTCTGGCTAGCTCTTTTAATTTAAATTAACTGGTTTCTCCTTATGTACATTTTGCCTCGGAGCTTTTTACTTTTCTCACTTTCTTGCTGTCTCTGTGTCTGGCTGGTTGGCATCTGCCTGGCTTTTTGCCCAAAGTGTGTCCCTTATTCTCTCCATCTTTTCTCCTTCTTCCTCTTTCTTCTTGAGCTTAGATTTCTGTTCCTATTAGTCTCTCTCCATCAGCCCTGCCTATCCTTTCTCCTGCCTAGCTATTGACCATTCAGCGCTTTATTTCATCAATCAGGTGTCTTAGGCAGGCAAGGTGAAACATAAACACACTTTTTAAAAAAAATATTTATTTATTTATTTATTTATTTATTTATTTATTTATTTATTTATTATGCATACAGTATTCTCAGTACCACAGCATTAGAAAGGCTGAGAACCATTGCTCTAGAATCACCTAAGAAACAAACCTCGGGCACGCCTGTGAGGGATTATCTAGGTTAGGTTAGTTCCTGGTCATGTGTATCAGGGATAATTTTGACTGTGTTAATTGTTGGTGAAGAGCCACAGCACCATTTGTTTACTTATTTAGTGTTGGTGGGTTTTTTGTTTGGTTTGTTTGGTTTTTTGAGGCAGGGTTTCTCTGTATAAAAACTCTGGCTGTCCTGGAACGCACTCTGTAGACCAGTCTGGCTTCAAAACTCAGAGATCCGTCTGCCTCTGCCTCCTGAGTGCTAGGAATAAAGGTGTGTGCCACCACAGCCAGCCAGTTAATAAGTTATCTTTTATTCCCTTTCAGGTAAAAACTGTGGGTTTTGTGTGTGTGTGCATGTGTGTGTGTGTGTGTGTGTGTGTGTGTGTGCCATTTTAGTGCTTAAATGTGGGACCTCTAGGAATGACCCATAAATCGCCAGAGGTGTTATGTACCAGCATGAACCCCTGGACATGACAGTCCTGTGTTGCTTCCTTAATTGGATATTAGTGAGCTCTTAATAGGACTCAGACTTCTTTTGGCTTAGTCAGTTGTTCATTTCTTTGTTTATTTTAAGCCGGTTGCTTGGATCCTGTATTTTTGTCGTTTCAGAGCTGTTGTTTTATTTTTGTTTTCAGTATATTTATTAATTTGTTAGTGTTCATTCTTTTTCTCCTGAGCTCTACCAATATAGTATTCTGAGTTTTTCTTTGATGGTTCCTTATTGCAATTGTGTTGCTTTTAGGTTGGGAGTTCTATGAGTGTCTAATCATAAAGATTTCAATGATATCAGGCACTTCTTTCTTCATCCCACCAGGGTAGAGAAAGAACCTAGGGGAACACCCTTGATGAATAATCACCTCATAGGAAATGACAAAGTGTACCCCATTCCTAGGTTAGAAGGAAATTTACTCCTTAGCAGGGACGATACAAATAAGGGTAGACCACTGAATGAAATGAGAATATGACTGCTCCTAGCTGGGTATGCTTGATGAGAAGGTTTTTATTATACATATGAGGGAGAGTACAGAGCAGAGAGAGAAAGTAATAGACTAAGGATGGCCAGTAGACTGAGATGAGAGAGAGGGAACCGAGAGAGGGGGCCCAGAGAGAGGTGGCCAGAAGAAGAGAGGGTGCCAGGATGTAGTGATAAGAGCGGCGAGGCTGAGTCCCCGGCACCTGGCCGCCCGCATGGCTAGCTTATGCCCGAAATAATTACACGGAAACTTTTAAACACTGCCTGGCCCGTTATCTGTAGCCTCTTATTGGCTACCTCTTACATATCGATCTAACCCATTTCTAATAATCTGTGTAGCCCACGAGGTGGCTTACCATAAAAGATCTTAACCTGCGTCTGTCTGGAGCGGGAGAATCATGGCGACTCTCTGACTCAGCTTCTTTCTCCCAGCATCCTGTTCTGTTTTCTCCACCTACCTAAGGGTTGGCCTATCAAATGGGCCTAGGCAGTTTCTTTATTAGTAAGAAATCACTCCCACATCATTTCTCCTTTTTCTGTTTAAACAAAAAAGAAGGCTTTCATTTTAACATAGTAAATTTACATATAGCAAAACAGTTATCAAGCAAGAATTACAGTTACAATATTTATGTCTATTTTATCTTTGATCATAACTAAGGAAAACTATAACTATCTATTCATTCTTCAACTCCATCAAAGACTCCAGAAGGATATAATACTACCTAAGTAAACAAGAAATAAGAAAACTCTAGGAATGACA